AGAGATGTTCACAGGTAAAAATGAGAGGCAAAGAAGTCAGTCACTGAGTACCAGTGACTCATGCCTATAATTGTAGCTACTCAGGAGGCTGAGATCTGAGGATAAAGGTTCAAAGCCAGCCCAAGTAGGACAGTCCATGTTATCTCCAACTACCTAAAAAGCCAGAAGAAATAGAGCTGTAGTTCAAGTGATAGAGTGCTAGTTTTGAGCAAAATACTGCGAACAGTGCCCAGACCCTGAATTTAAGCCCCAGTATATGCACGCACCCACACACACAGAATGTATGGCAAGGTGTAGCGGTTCACACCTGTAATCTTAGCTATTTGAGAGGCAAGTTAGTGAGATTCCATCTCAACAAACAAGCCAGCATGATAATATGCATATGTAATCCAAGCTACACTGGATCCCTAAGTATGAGGAACTCAGTTCAAGTTCAGCTCTGGCTAAAAGAGTGCCAGACTCTCAAGCAAAAAGGACTGGAGGTATGTGGCTCAAATAGTAGACCTGCTTACCAAGAGTGAGGCCCCAGGTTCAAACCTCAGTACTGCCAAAAACAAAAATAAAAGAAGGAAGGAAGGAGAGAGGGAGGGAATGAGAGAAAGGAAAGATGGAAGGAAGGGAGGGACAAAAAAGGAGAGAAGGGGCACATGAATATAAGAATCCATCTTGTTCACAACTAGGCGGAATATGGATTTAAAAGTGCGAGTTGGAAACATGGTCTCTCTTGTTTGCTGGAGGAAGCCAGCAAAAGCGATTCCCAAAGCACAGCTGTCATAAAAACAGGAGGTGAGTTTAGTCCACTGGTTGGAGAATCTCGGCTGTTGTGTTCCAGGCTGCCGACCAGAACTGGTGCTACAGCCATGCTCATGTTAGAGAGGTTCCATGGGGGATCTAGGAAGAGGAAATTGAAGGGAGAGACCCCTGAACAGCAAGGCTGCCAAGGACTAAGTACCACTGAGTTGGGGCCCATGACAGTGACCTCCAACATGGTCCATCTCCAGAGAGCAGGGCACGCTGCTCCCACAGAGCTGCAAGGGCAGAGGAAAGAGTTGGGACCAACCCAGGCATTGCAGCTACATGTGCTGAGCCTCTTTCCCAACTGAAGGCTAGGAACAGGGCACTTTGTGAGCAGAGCCCTGCCAGACACCACCAGCTGGTGGAGACTCCGCTCCTGACTCCCTTTAGGATGCCTGGGTGCCAAACTGCTGATGACAAAGCTCCTGCTCTTCCATTTTCCTCTCACCTCCCCACTCAGAACCAGAAAAGAAAGAAAACTATTCCCAGGCATTTTCTTCCCCATTCACTCACTGGGCTGCAAATTCAATGTTCCTCGGGCCGCCCTCCTGCCCACCAGGCTCGTGGGCCATCTACGTGAGTGTGCGCAAAGCTAGTGTCGCAGGAAAGGCATAGCAAAAGCATGAAAGTGTCTTGTAAAAACTGAAACAGGCCCATCTTTATCGTAAGGGGTATGGTGAAAGTCTGTTTTGCTAAAATTCTTAACCTTTTCAGCCAGGTGCCAGTGGCTCACACCTGTAATCCTAGCGACTCAGGAAACTGAGATCTGGGCATCATGGTTCAAAGCCAGCATGGGCAGGAAAGTCCTTGAGACTCTTATCTCCAACCACCAGAAAACTGTGAATGGTGCTATGGCGCAAAGTGGTAGAACACTAGCCTTGAGCAAAGAGCTCAGGAACAGCACCCAGTCCCTGCGTTCATGACCCATGACGGACAGATAGATAGATAGATAGATAGATAGATAGATAGATAGATAGATAGATAGATAGATAGATAGATAGATAGATAGATACATAGATAGATAGATAGATAGATAGATAGATAGATAGATAGATAGATAGATAGATAGATAGAGCCAAAGTTCTTATAGCTGAGAATGCTGTTTTTAATACATTAACCCAGCCCATCTGACTGAGCTACTGTTTACACAACAAAAAGCAGCCCAAGCCTCGCTGAGTGGGTGCATCTTGATCATTGCTGAGGTACCTTGGGAAGGAGCCAGGCCTGTGGGTCAGCCATGCAAGTTCTGGCCTCCTGATGGTTGAGGGAGCCGGTCTCATTCCACTTGTCATTGTCAGCCAAGTACAGTGTCGAATATCCCACTTTTCTGGCAACGCTGTCACTGGTATGTTTCTCCTTGGCCCAGCATATGGAATTGTTCACATCTGCTCCCCAGGCCTCGGAGATCTGGGAGAAGGCAGCATGAGAGGAGAAACTAGAGGAGTGGGGCACAAGGGAGGGGTGCAGACAGGAAAGAGGTGGGGGGATGGGGAGAGACTCGAGCATGGGAGTGGACAGTGTGGCCCTGCCAGCAGACGCTGTGAGCCCAGGTACAGCTCTGTTCCCTGGCAGCCCCTGCCCAGGAAGCAGGCTGCCTAGGGAGATGCCACATACTGAGCCCCAAGTTGCCACATCTGCTGGGTCAGAGTCTTGGGCTGAGCACTGGAAAAATAGGCTGACCCAAGTGGCCAATTAAACTTTCCATTGGCAGAGACTGAATTAAGAGTTTTGAAAGCAGGGTGGGGGAATATTTCCATTTGAGAAGTTTGTTTTTTAATGAAATGAAACATTTACCGACACAAGCTCCACAGAGCCACAAGAGAGTGATTAATTAAACTGTGGTGCCATGTTGAACAGAGAGATTCAACACCAGGCCTTAGAGCCTGAGGAAGCATTGTGGGAGGTTGCACCACCTCCACAAGCTCCTCAAGCTTCAGGCCTTCTGTCTGTCTTTCCTCCAGTTCCAGGGTTGGGGGCTCTCAACAGGGACAGAGACAAGAGAGCTTCCTGCAGGCTCAGGCTCTGTGGTTTCTGAAGTATTATGAAACTAGGAACTCAACCAACATATGTAGCAAAGCGAATGCTTCTGTGAATGCCAGTCTGTTAATAGGCTATCTCTTCCTGACCTTTCCCAGCTGCCTGCCAGCTTCCCCACCCAGCAGCTCCAAAGGCTTTTCTCTGCTTCTAGCTCCCACCCTGAATCCTGAGCTACAGAATAGGAGAGGGATTTCAGCTCATTAGCTGCAGAAAGACCCAGCCAAAGAAGGCCAAGTGAAGGTGCACAGGGCACAGCGGACCCCATGCTCCTGCACCAGCCTCTCCTAAAACAAGGGTTGTTGTCTTGACATAAATGGTCTTGTTTTATAACAGCTAGAGTAAAGGCCTGCTTCACACAATAGAAAAACTAGACAGATTTACTACCTCCAGCATAGACTAAGAAAGCACCCTGAAAGGGTTCAGAAATAGGGATACAGGTTGACCCATTGCAACGATGAGATGTACAAGACGCTATGTCAAAAAATGAACTTTACCATTTAGTCGGGGTAGGGGACAGGGGAGTGTAGTTGTGGAGATAGGACGGAAGGGATGGTAAGGGGAAAACAAAGGAGGAGGCAACAATGCTTGATAAGAAATGGACACATTACCTTGCTCATGGAATTGTAACCTCTCTGTATAGTATTTTCACAAAAAAAGGTGACTGAGAAGACCATTGTTGACAGCCAGGACGAGCCAGGATACCCCCAGCTCCAAAAGCCTTGATTGAGTGACTCTTACCCACGGGGACAAGGGTTACACTCTGGACTCAGATCTTCTGGCCAGGCTGACAAAGTTCTGGCTAACAGTTTGTATCTCCTTCCCCAAACTAAAGGAAGCTACACTGTGTTCTGCTCCTGACAGCCCAACAGACTGGGGGTAGGCAAGCAAGTCTGGATGTCTGTGTACAGTTTGAAATCAAATTCTTACTGTTGTAAATTAACTGAGTCAGAAGTTGGGGAAGATTCCATGTGACAGGCTCATGGCCAAGGAGTAGCCAAAACATACAAGATCTTGGCAAAGAGAGGAAAAAACACGATATCGCAAAAAGGAGAAGGAAAGTGAAGAGTAGTTCCTGGCAGTAGCTGGGAGGGGGTGAGGGCTTACCCCACCCCATGAGTGGTATTTCAAAACCACATGGTCAAGAAGCACCCCAGGAAGCTGCTCCCACTGGCCCGCCATGCCGTCCTAATGCTCTGCAGCCTCTTTCAGCATCCGGCTGCTCTCCCAGAGGGTCCACAAGGTTTCAATGATAGATGGCCTAGCTGAGGTCATCCGTACACATGCACCCCTGGAGACATCCTGGCTACCCATCAAAGTCACCAAACATCAGGGCACCGTGGGGTCACCAGTCCAGATGCTGCCCAGACACACTGGCATAACAGATCTCACATGGTGCACCAAGAACTCGCCCACCCATGAAGAAAACCAATTTATGGAATTACAAGTGGGGCTTACAGTAGCCATAGACAAGAATCAGTATATTTTCATTCCATGGCATAATTTTTTTCTCTACTTTATTCATGTATTTTGTCTGCTTGATTGAAGTATAATTTCCATACAAGAAAACTCAACCTTAAGACTACACGTCAATGAGTTTCAGTGAACAGTCACATCACCATACAACACTGGGGTTGCAAACCTGCCTCCCAGCTTGTTTTGTTTTGTACTCCTTTCAGGGTTGTAAAGACAAAAGATTGTGTGCAACCCACACTGCCAAAAATGTCTGTTGCTGACCCTTCACAGAGAGAGCACACTGGCCCTGATACACTATTTTCCTCACCCCCTCAGAGTCCCCTTTGACCCCTTACACATGTCCCTCCCTCCCCCTGGCAACCACAGATCTGCTTTCTATCCAGTCCTTTGCCTTTTCTAGGATTTTATATAAATGAAATCATACAGTATGACGCCCTTTGTGTCTGGCTTCTTTCACTTATAATGCATTTGAGGTTCATTGTCTGGGTTTTTGCATATGTGAGTTCTGCATTCCTTTGTTATTTCTATAAAGTATGATACCCTGTTCAAGACAAGGTTCAACTCCTGAATGGGTTGGGGGCCCTCCTTGTGTTTTAAGCATGTGCAGACACAGAGGAGAAGAAAGGCTAGTTCCAGCACAGTGCTTAGGGTCTGGAGCCCAGGAGGGCCAGTTCTCACCACCCTTGTCTTTGCAGGCATGAACAACCGGGAAGTGCTGGAGCAGGTGGAGCGCGGCTATCGGATGCCTTGCCCACAGGACTGCCCCATCTCTCTGCACGAGCTCATGATCCACTGCTGGAAAAAGGACCCTGAAGAACGTCCTACCTTTGAGTACTTGCAGGGCTTCCTGGAAGACTACTTTACCGCCACAGAGCCCCAGTATCAGCCTGGTGAAAACCTGTGAGAGCTGGGTCTGCAGAGAGGCCTTGTCCCAGAGGTCTCCCCACCCCTCCCCATTAGCTTCCAATTCTGTAGCCAGCTGCCCCAGGCAGCCAGAACCGTCCAGGATCAGATTGCATGTGACTCTGAAGCTGACGAACTTCCATGGCCCTCATTAATGACACTTGTCCCCCAAATCCGAACCTCCTCTGTGAAGCATACGAGACAGAACCTTGTTATTTCTCAGACTTTGGAAATGCATTGTATCGATGTTATGTAAAAGGCCAAACCTCTGTTGAGTGTAAATAGTTACTCCAGTGCCAACGATCCTGATCCTCGTGCTTTCCTTTTTTTAAAATGCAAATCCTATGTGATTTTAACTCTGTCTTCACCTGATTCAACTAAAAAAAAAAAGTATTATTTTCCAAAAGTGGCCTCTTTGTCTAAAACAATAAAATTTTTTTTCATGTTTTAACAAAAACCAATCAAGACAGGTGTTTGGGTTTTTTTTCTTTTTTTATAAATATGGATTATATATATATACATATATATATATATATATGTCCCTGTACATATACCATGTGGGTGCTAATGTGGAGGCCATGGCCAACCTGGGCTATGAAGCTGTGGGACCCAGACTAAGCTCTGACTGCAAAACCTCATCACAGCGTTGGCGGTATTCTGAAAGCCAGTACCCTTATTTTTTGGCTTTTGAAAAGCATGGTTTTTTGGTGTTTTGTTTTTTTTTAATTTGGATTGCATCTTTTTTTTCTTCTTTTTCTTTTTGGTTTATGGCTATACCTGTAGATCTACAGTGTAGAGGGTCATTACTCTGACTTTTTTCAGAAACCCCTGAGCTGAGTTCATATGTGTTATTACCAGTATTTGCTCCAACTTAACTGCAATTGGTTCCCAAAAGGTAAAAATGAGCATATTTAAGCAAGCAAACAGCCAGTCCTAGGGATAGAAATGGAAGATGGATGCCACACAGACTTCTTGTATAAAAATATGAATGCTGAAATGTTTCTAATGGTTTTTGTTATTTCATAAATCTTGTAATTATCTAAAACCCATAGCATTGTAGTTATGGCAACCTACTAAACTTTCTCATGCAACTAAAAATTATGGGGAAGGTCAGAGGGGTGGTATACATGTCCCATTGTAAAATAAGTGTTTTAAATGTCCTGTACTGCTAATGAATGACTATATGTCCAAGAGTTCGCCAGTGGAGTAACTATGCACTACTTTACATTTCATAGGGATGCACAAAAAAATATTACATTTTTAGTTACTATTTGTACCAACCTTGAATTACATGTGTTTAACAACAACAAATCAAAAATCCTTTTTCTATTGAGTTTTTAATACTGAGTAGTGACTCTGAGGTCTTAATTCCTTTTTTGTTGTGATTTATTTGTGAGTTTTGCATTTTTAAATTGTTTAACTTTCTTAATTTAGTAATTAAAAAGAGAGCATTTTACATTTGAAAAAATTTTGTTCATTTGTTTAAATCACAGAAGGTACTCTGGTAGCTCTGTGAAATATCTGTTCCACACCAGATGGTGAGAAGGAGTCACCTGGTGAATTTAGCCATTGTGCAATGATTTCCAAATGACAGAAACATTCCAAACATCTGGAGGTCCCTCCCCACCAAAAGGCTAGGTAACAGTCTAGCTAATTCAGAGGATTGTTAAAGCAAGTCTAGGCATACCTTAACATTTTAATTTTTAATCTGACATTTTCTCTAAATGGAATTTGCTGTGCTCCACTTGTAGAAGAACCAGATGATTAGAAGAATCTTGTCCTGAAGTCAGGCAACCTATTTCTAAGTGCCCCTAACGCAATTGGGGAAGACCGCCTGGTGTGATAGGAAAAGCTGTGGTGGACTCAGGCTAGCCAGCTAGGGCCGGCTCTGCCCGCCCTCAGTTGCAGGATCTGGAGTAGCTGGTGAGGCGTCACCTGGTGGCTGACCAATACAAATAGGGGTCTGGGGGGATGAGATCCACACTTAGCTTTAACATCCTGTGATTCCCTGGAATCATGTGGATATATGTAAAGTGCAGTTTCTTGTTGAAATAAACTTTACCATTACAAAAAGCTTCCGACATTTGAAGAAGAAAGCCAGAAAAAAGATAAAACATTTTTTCATATACCAAAACTTTATGGTACTGTTTTTTATGTTAATATGATTGCTAAATTGGTTTTTTAAAGATCTTATTACATACAATGTTTCACATTGGCCAGTTCATTAACAGGTTCTTAGTTTTTTTGTTGTTTTGTTTTTGTTTTGTTAGTCATGGGTCTTGAACTCAGAGCTTGGGCACTATCCCTGAGCTTTTTTGTGCAAGATTAGCACTCTAACACTTTGAGCCAGCTCTACTTCTGGTTTTCTGGTGGTTAATTGGAGGCAACAATCTCATGGACTTGTCCTGCCCGGGCTGGCTTTGAACTGTAATCCCCAGATCTCAGCCTCCTATGTCTTTTTAAGTTAAATTTGTTTTTAATCAGCCTGTCCCACTAGGATGGGTTTTTGCAAACTAGTCTCTGGAGGATTTTTTGTTTATGTTTTGGTTCACTTAAAAATATCTGGAGCTGGGCGCTGGTGGCTCACACCTGTAATCCTAGCTACTCAGGAGGCTGAGATTTGAGGATCTCGGTTCAAAGCCAGCCTGGGCAAGAAACCCAGTTAATCAGTTAATCACCAGAAAATGGGAAGTGGTGCTGTGGCTCAAGTGGTAGAGTGCTCATCATGAGCTGAAGAGCTCAGGACAGTGCCCAGGCCCAGAGTTCAATCCCTACGACCAGGAAAAATTATAATTCTTGAAGAAACAAAGATCAGCTCTTGAGCCAGAATGAATTAAATGTTATAGCATTTAATCCATCAAGTGAGTCATTTTGGATTCTCATATATGGAACAGAGGTAAGGATGTGGGTCAGCTGAAGGGTACACCTGTGATATGCAGCATGCTGGACCTGTTCTGAAATGCTGATAAAATGGTTGCTGAGCAAGCAAACCTTTAAGTACGAAGAGATTAGAGATGTCTCCAAGAGTCTACTATGCTTTCAAGAGATAATCTTGAGATCACCTCCAGGAAGGAGTTCCAGTGGCTCCCAGGAAACCTCTGTCCCTCATAAGTTGTAGAAATTTGGCGTAAGGAAACTGAATTTGCTCACCAGAAAGTTCTCTTATAAGAGAAAAATATCACCTTCGCATAGACGAGTGGGGAGCTTTTTTTTTCCCCAATCTTTAGTAACCTAGTAATGACGAAGTAATAGTATATTCTCCCAAGAGAGCTACCATCTGGCATTGCTCTGGATAGCGAGCCTTCCTAATAACTTTTTCTTTTTTTTTTTTTACTTTTTAAAAATCAAATAATTAGCCTGCCAGCAAAGATCATTTACAAAGCTCGGACCTTGTAAACTGTGACAGCATGATTTCTGTTCATCCCATTCATTGCAGTTCATGCTTTCCTCTAAGACTGCTGCATTTGTGTGCACTGAGGCGAAAGGGCAGGGATCAAGGAGACTCCCCAGTAGACTCCAGGTCCCACATGTTAGAGTTAGGCTGCATTTGGCTCTATGATGTACAAGAACCAGGCATTTCTATGAGAAACGTCAAGGGTATCTGTGATTCTTCAAACCACAGCACTAAGGACAAGCACCTGAGGATTTTTATCCACCGGAGACAGATGAATCCTCCTGTGGCTTAACTCTGGGCAGCAGAGGATTTTTCTAGTAACATTGGAGCTGTAGGGCTTTAATCTGCAATTTCTCAGGGGATCTTAGCAATTTCTGCCATGTTAATTGGAATAGTTCTTCCATGCGTCTTTAAAGAAGCATCGTGCAAAATTTTTCCTGATTCAGGACAAAGAAGCTAACTGCACAAGGCAGCCAGTCTCTTAACAAGTTGTATTTGAGTAAAATGATGTTTGGTCAATTTGTTCCTGCAAGGCATTTTAATAGATTTTGATGACTTTTGTTGACTTTCTTACCACTATATGTTATGCTGCTGGAATTCAGTTAGGCTGTCAAAATTTGCTGGAATGAAGATAGTGAAGAAGGAAGGAGGAAGAGGGAAAATACTGAAGAAGGAAAGAAGAAAGATGTGGGTTTGGGATTGAAAAAATAAAGCTCAAATTTAGATTCCAAAATGGGAGCATAATTACTATGGCATTACCAGTTGTTGATATTTCATTCTCAGAATATATTGTAATTCCATAAAATATGATGCAATATCTTTAAAACAGCAAATAGGCCTTCATAATGAATAAATACCAATATTCTAAGAAAGTTTTTTTAATATCTAAATTATACCTCATTTATATTCAACATGCAGAATGCACACAAACTCATAGTGAGGAGGACAAAACCTTTTTAACAATTAAAGTCTGGAGGTATACCTCCACAGGAGAGCATTTGTATTTCATCTATAATACCACACACACACAAATCGAAGGCTAAAAAAAAATGTTTTCCCAGTGATATAAGAACTGTCATAATGAGAATGAATCTGTAGCAAACAACTCAACATTGAGAACTCCATACTCCTTTCTGAATGCTCCTTTCTTAATACCTTCTAATTCTATGTTCAATGCCTCCAATATATTTAATAATACTACTCTTCTCTTACAGTGTTTTTTTCTGCAAGATCATATACTACTTCAGGATAAAAACTGCCTGATTGCTCACTGTTATTCTCCCTGTACCTAGAGACATGCAAGAGTTTATGGGATATAGCTCAGTGGCAAAGTGCTTGACTAGCAAGTACAAGGTCCTGGGTTTGATCCCTAGTGCCAAAAGAAGAAAAGACAAAAAGTAAAAATAAAAAAGAGTTTATGACAAAGGGTGGACAGACAGATGGATGGATGAATGATAGATTGTTAAATAGATGATGCCCACCATCCAGTGGAGTGACTGGAAACTTAATCTGAAAATACTAAACATGAACGATTCACTTTGTGCGGACTCAGCACTAGCTCCCCTCCCTCCCTACCCCCACCCCCATCCCATTATAATGTATGGTCAACAGTTTTTGAGAAGGTGCAAAGGCTCCACCTTTGGCCTGAATTGAAACCATTGGTTTTCTCCACATTTTTCTCTAGAATTCATCTCAACGCCCACGGGAATAAATTCATACTTCTTAGGGGTTGTATGCGGTAAATTGTACCATGTGACACCATCTGAAAGATCACATTTTATCTTGGTAACTTCATAAAAACTTGATTACTCTCTAGAACAGCCATCTTTGTCTCCCATATCATTCAGTTGTGTAATATACCTGCCTGTGTCTTACCATATCCTTGGACCAAGGAACTCCTGTGAAGCACACTGTGAGGTTGGTGTGCAAAACACCTTACTGCTCATGTATTGGTACTGAACATGGGAGAGGCAATGTTATTACTGCTAATTCCTGATTTCCCCCTTTTTTCATCCAGCAAAGAACAACCCTGTGATTGAGAATGGGAGAGAA